ACCATTCTATAAATATATCATCATTTGATCTAGGTGGTATATAAACAACACAAACATAAAAACTGTGTCCATCGACTTTAAAACGTGCCCAGAGATCTTCACCACACGACGTCTCATACTGCGGAAAGTGCTCTAGGTAAACAGGAGATTGGGCTGCCAGTAAAACGCCGCCGCCCACGCGGCTTCCGCCGCGGTCACGCCGAAGTACCGACCAATTACCGCAGCATAATTCGGCATCAGACACGGAACCATCAAGATTCGTTTCCGTGGCGGCTACTAGAAAAAGGTCTTCGGAAAGCAGAAGGTTGGTCCTCCAATCGACTAATTTTGATTTGAGCCACCTTACGTTTTGATAGTACAAATTGAGTACAAACTTTTTTGTTTTATTTCCGAGTTTGCTAGTTTTGCGTTGCGCTTTCGGGGTTTTTGGAACGAAATAACTGTCGCCAAGGTTTCAGTGCGATGTCCTTTGCCCAATTACTAGGGTCCATTACCTTTTCAGCATACCGCGACGGGACGGTTAGTTTAAAAGAAGCGTAGTTGCCTCTAGCTTTTAAGGTTTCTACCGTACAGACGTCCTCCCCACAGACTACCTCGAGATGGGCACGAACCCTGTCGTCCGTAGTGCCGATCTTGAGGTAATACGCATGGATGTATAGTGATCTCTCTGATGCTTCAAGTTGTGTTGTACCTGGCGTGGCAGTGCCACGCTTAATATTCAATAACTTACGCGGACGTTTGACTTCTGTCCAGCCCTCATCGTCAGGATTGGAACTGGCTGTTGCATTAGTAGCTCGTAAAAGCGGCCTAGGTAAGTCAGGCTCGGAGTGAGATGTTATTTCCGCTTTGGAAGACCTACGCACAGAAGGCACTGGCTCCAACTGTACTGGCTTAGAAGGCCCAGGCATAGTCACCACTGGTTTAGACGATCCTTTCATAGATGAAGCAGCTTTGCTTTTCTTTGTCTTATGGGGGTTGCCAGGAGGAGGGGCCATACTGTTTTGTATCATACATGTTGCATTCGCCACCAATTCTAACTTAGCCTCAAAGGTCGTTAGCCTTTTCTCAAGTTGAGTAAATTTGTTTGATATTGAAGCAAAGTGGTTTTCGACAGCTTTGCTAATTAAGTTAGACAGGCGCTCGCTCAGCGCTTGTTGCAGCTCGTCTCGAATTGTATTTCTTATACTAGTCATGCAGATGTTATCATCCTCAATGTTGCATGATAAGGCAATTGAGTTGCTCCTACTGGTTTGATGCCGACGGAGTGTAACATTGTCACAGGCTGTTAATCCACACTGGTTCGAGCAGGCATCAAAGTTAGAATTATTAATTGAGTCATTTGCCGTCATATTATTATCGTTGCTCTCAGCCACCGTTCCACGCACGGGTGTGTTAGTGTTATCACCTTTCGGTTGCCTGCATACACATCTCTGGCATTTCCATGCACTTTTATGGTCCGATGTCATAGAATTATAAAACCTTTTTTCAGAGACGTTTGCGCACTGTAGATCATATGTATCTGTGCATACAAGACAACGTAAATACTGTCGGCTTTCAATAGAACTTAAACAGCCAGCACAAATAATCGAAGGCATTGCAAAGAACAGAGCAGATATTATAACTCACTCAGGTAACAATGACGGTAATGACGCCGCGCTGTCTCGTTGATCGCTGTGTTCGCTCGAGGTCGATGCACTCTGGTGACAAATGAGTCACGACAAGGCCGCAGCGATAGAACTGGTTGTTGAATAAGGCGAATCCAACGGTCGAGATTTGATTTTAGAAAAAATAAATGGTTGTAGCTTTACTAATTTTGCACTTTTTGAAGATATTATTTTACAAAAACTTCAGACAGATTCCAAACTTTCGGATGATGTAAATATTATACGGGGCCGAAAATAAATTTCACGATTCAGAATTAAAAACAAGAGGAACAAATTGACAGAGGTTTTGCCTTAACGACTAATGATGACGAAGTCATGTCATGACGAAGTTATGTCTAATATTAATGCAAACCACCCTATTTATTCACTATAGTCATAATAGTTTTTAATTAAATACCTTATTTTTAATTTTACAAAGAGCTTCACTGTAAGTACGGTCTCTCATAAATTGGACAAACGAAACGAAGTATTTGTACCCGCATCAAAGAACATACATCATTTTGCAGTTTATCACAGTCACTGTTATTACGCATGATCTTAAAATTCTGAGTGTCATTTGCATACATTAATAGATCAGAAAAGGTATTAATATAAGGTATATTATTGATGTTATTGATGTATAGGGTGAACAACAAGGGACCAAGATGTGAACCTTGAGGAATTCCGGAGGTGATACATTTGTAAACAGGCAAAACCGCTATGCACCACTGCCTAGTACCTACTTTCGATATAAGAATTAATCTAGCGCAAAATATTACCGTGTATACCGAATCGCCAAAAGCTTCGCGAGTAAAGTGTTGTGACAAATTTTATCAAACACCTTAGCAAAGTCGGAATACAAAGCGTCATGTTAAATATGAACTCTAAAAAAGTTAATAAATTTGTATCAACACTACGCCCTCTACAAAATCGTGTTATTGAGGAGCAACTAAACGATAGACTGTTAGATAGAGTTGTGTAGATAGATCGTTATTAATAAATCCTTTCCGAACAGGAGTGATCCATGCTTGCTTTCAGATATTAGGAAATATCCTCTCCGCAAAAGACTTTTTATAAATTAACGTTAAGGGCAAAGCGATAGTAGTCGCGCAATTGCGAATAATAATAGGATGGATCTCGTCTGGGCCAGCACCTTTACTGGTGTCAATATAATCTCAAATTTTAGTAGCAGAAGAGTGTAAAAGTTCATCCAGGGTAGTACCGCCACCTCATCTATTTCTGCCGCCATCAGTAATGTCAGCATTACTGTGTTCCGGTTTTGAAGGCTAAGGGTGCTGGTGAAATTACAGGCACATGGGCTTGTCAACTTATGTCTCAGGGTGACGGGCGCAGTGGCAGTGCCCCGCAGGTTTAAAGCTTTGAACGGCACTGCAACTGTTATGGACAGGCGTGTAGCTTACCATCAGGCGCACGACTTGTTCGTCCCGTCACTTTATATTATAAAATAAATATAGATTTCAAAATGTTGAAAAGAGTCTCTTTAGTTATTTCTATAGGATGTAAATTAAAAACGCAATTAATATTTGTATTGGGGTGGGATAGGAGCAAAATATCTCGAAAACAGATTGGAAATGGTCAGTAAACCGATCACAAATTTCTAAGAGTAATAAAATAACCTTTATAAGTCATGATTTGTGGAAGTTGACTGTTTGAGTACAAAGACATTATATAAGTCCAAAAGTAATTTGGATGCTTTTTAATGTTTTGCTCAGAATATTGAATATAATTTCTGTAACATTCCTTCTAAGTAATTTGAATGTAGTCCTGCAAGGTTGTTACTATCTTAGAAATAATCCTGTGTATTTATTGTTTTAAGCGTGTAACGGTCTCTTGCCACTTAAGGCTTCCCGCTGCAACAAACGATGTCAGATGAAGTTTGTCAGCAAAGCAGCCAGAAAACTTGCTGGCTTTGTTTAACTGCAATCTTTCTATAACGTTGAAAATGAAATTATTAATTAAACTTTCATATTATATTAGCAACCGCAGTATTTTTATTATTATTATTATTATTAATGAACGAGAAACATACAATTACACTTTTATCTTTCTCTTTAATATAGTACCTATTGTTTTACTAGACGTAGAGGTGGAGCGCTCCACGATGCGCTCCTATGAACCGAGGTAGTTTACAAATTTCAGTAATAAATTCAATGAGTGCGAAAGGGACATTTCTTTACGGCGCGACACGTGAAACAAAAGATTAGTATGAGAAAATTAGCAAGATTTTAGATGCAATGCCGTGCAAGCCCGATGCGACGACTGCACTCGGCCTCCACTCGCTGTTGCCAGTTTCATTTGTCAAATAAACAAACCGTATTTTTTTCGCGCGCTTTAGTTATGTTGTAATAATTATTGTTATTGTTCAATCGTTGTTAGCGTAGTGTTGGTGGCATTGTTTAAAATGGAACAATATAATGTGTTTCATTCTTTATTTAAATTAGGTAAGCGAAATCCCGCTAGAATCTTCCGCGAGCCGCCTCTGCCAATTAGGCAAAGGACGCTAATATGGACCTAGATAATGTAACGCAACCTGTAATCATAATATTATAATAAGATATAGTGACTGCCTACGTGGCCGAATGGTTACCATACTGGAATGCTACGCAGATGCCCCGGGTTCGATTTCCCGTCCGGCAGAAATGAATGTACAGCCTACTATTGTTTCTCTCGTAAGTTTAAGTGTAATTTGTGGTTATCTTTAGGTGTTAGGATTATTAAAAAAAAAAGAGCAAGTGGGGAAACTCTGGTCGGCGTTCAAATGTCTAACTTCGCTCGGAGCGTAGTGTTGTTACATTGTTATTTTAGTTATACTTTCAGATTGTAAATACAATTTAAAAAAGGGGTTCAACACAGTATTCTCGTGTTTTATTGAAATAACCTAACTGCAAGAGTTACTTAAGTATTGACATTATACCAGCATCGCGGATAGGTAACTTGATATTGGGGTATGATTATGAAATAGAATTGAAATGCTGAACTTGATGCAATCTTGTTCAAACTACCACAAATATAATAATAAACACATTTACTATTTCTTATTTCTTTTAACACCGAGCAACCGTTTCAATTCTGCAATGAACACCGCGTGTGACGACCTTCGCTGAGTACCGCGAGATTGTGCGAATGTATCGGTCTGTACACGTCGCGTGTCCGGGCGCGCACACATACAAGACACGCTGCTACGTTTGTATCGAGTTACCAAACTAGTCTTTACTGGAATTATGATTGGAGAGTTTAAATTTACAACTGCATTTCACATGATATTAAAGATTATTGATTGGTGAGTTTGAATTTGAGTTATAACTACTGCTATATAGTAAAATTTACAATTCTTACCACAGCTGTAACAATGATTGCTCCGGCTCCAAAGTCAAGGCTGTAATGTCCGAAGAACTTACGTTTCATAGGTAAATAGTCCAGCGGCATCTTGCTAGGTATATCTATAGACCTCTAGGAAATATTCTATATAACGTGTCTTCTATCAAATAATCAAACTTAAAAATTCTCGCATAAATGCTTCATAAATATTTAACAAAAGAACATCAATTATGTCAAAGGAAATATGAAAAACGTCAAAGAGAATATAAATACATGAATACTCTTTAAACATCTAAGAAAAAAACTTAAAATAGTATTATTAGTACTAATAGTATAACCTTCTTGTTGAAGGACTTTGCCTTAATGCATTTTTATCAGTAATTCGCGTATAGCACGGTTCAAACAATGACTTTGAAAAATATATATAGCAAAATTGAGAAATAATACTGATTACTATACGGTGTGAAAACACGATCCCTAAAAACTTTACGATAGAAAAAAAAATACAAAATTACCTCGAATTTTTACACGAAAACCGCCGAGCCGTGGTAGTTTCGACTCTTAACACTATAAGCATTGCCTTACAAATAAATGGACGACGGGTCTAATACAAAAACCACGAAAAAAATGTCCCAAGTCAACCTATTCGAAATTTAAATTGTAATGTCATCGCAGTATCGCGCTGTCAGTAGAACAAATGAAGACTAAAGCGTGAATGACGCTCTGTGTACGATTTTAACGCCTTATAAGTTCGGACACTTTTTAGCGCGGACCCGACGTCCATATAATTGTAAGTCAATGACTATAAGTAACAAATTTTCAATAAGGCTCTGTTTCTGATTTGACAGTAATAATTTTTTGTTTATAATATCTAGTGACGGGACGAACAAGTAGTGCGCCTGATGGTAAGCTACACGCCTGTCCATAACAGTTACAGTGCCACCAGAGCTTTAAATCGCAAAAATCTAAGGGGCACTGCCACTGCGTCCGTCACTATAAGACATACGTTGACAAGTCCCATGTGCCTGTAATTTAATAATTTGTGTTTAATGGAGCACAGTACCTCAGAAATTTAACTTTTGTGGCTGCCACAGTGGTATTTACATAGCTGCCTATTTACATAGTATTTAGGTGGGCACATAATCCCATAAATATACATACTTCCAGGTAGCCATCATAGTATAAAAGATTTTTGGTTAAAATATGCTATTATATGATTTGAAGCTTAGAATAATAACGCATAGAAACCTAGTCCGCACACGCTAAGTGAGGCAACTGAAGCGCGCCCAATGGGCCTACATGAGCGGGCGGGGCTTCAGTGCTCAACGTCAACTTGCACCGCGAACAGATCAAAAATTTTAGCTAAAAATGACGAAATATGCGGTAAATGAGTGTAAAAATACGTCAGAAAAACATAAAATAGATACTAACATCACATTCCACAAGGAAGTAATGCGTTTTAACTTGTATTTTTATATAAATATTCACTAAAACCGAAATTTAACCTACTACTAAAACTAGCCTACATGAATTTGATTTTTGCCTCACTTGTGACAGTTCGTTTGATATGAAACTATCATTCTATGCGTTATTATTCTAAGATTTGAAGATGATTTGAAGTATAATATTCTCTTTATGTCTTTAAATACAAAGAAACCTTTTTTCTTTTTGTATGTTTCCTGTATGGTCCACAAAATCAAAGTTTTTTCAGGGAAATAAAGTTTCTTCGTGGTATTACAAAATGGTATTCATAATCCAGAAACAAAAGTCGTGTTACATGTAAACAAAAACTAAACGAAAATATGAATTAAAACGCCTACGAATATTTTGCGAGCAAATATGTCGCAAGGCGGCGATGCTCGCTACTACTGTATGACGGAGTTTTGGTAAAAATATTTTTTTTAACAATTTTAGGGTCGTAACATTTAATAGAAGAGGAGAAGAAGAAGAACAATTCTCATCTAAACGAAAATTGCTGACCTATAATGTTGCATAAATAAACAGAATACTCTTTGGATACCAAGTGCTTACAAATAGTTTGAAAGTAAAACAAAAACTGAGAACGCTTCACTGAAGCGGCGTCTTAGTGGGAAGATAGCTCGTGTAAACATCGCGGGAACGTCCGACTTATGACTGAGGGCCTCGAGGGAAATAAGAGGTGCGACATCCTCTTATTTGTAGACTTTGACCTCGCACGTGGAGTAGTGTGAAAATACACCTACGTACATGTTATGACTTAAGATAAAAGCGACGGGCGGAGAAAATATATGGAATTAAGCCGAGATGAATATAATTTTTTTAATTTTTTATTTATTTATTTATTTATATCAGGTAACAAAGACCCATGTATACATACCTTATAGACTAACATACATAACAATATAAAAACAAAATACACCTATGTTATATATACCTTAAAACAAACATACATACAATATAATAATAAAAACTAATCTACACGATTTCCCTTATCGGCAACGTGTGGCGCAATCTGGTGTCAGGTAACCGGCCGCGGAATCGCCGATATATGACACCCTTGCCAAAATTCCTCTTTCATGAAGGTCGAAAGTGTTAATGCAGAGGCGACAGTGTATTGGATTTTCTTGGAGTAATATTGCACAGTTAATAATATAATAGTGTCAATTAAATTTTTATTGAATTGATATTCAATTATTTTTTGTGAAATTACTCTTTTTAAATTTTAAATTTAATTTTTTTTTCTGAGTGTTCCATCTTTGTATTGATAATTATAACAAATTAGTGGAGTAATTTCACAAAAAATAATTGAATATCAATTCAATAAAAAAATTATTAATACAGTGAATAGCGTCATCTCTCGCCAGGACTGGTAGCTGTAAAGGTACTAACTGGGTGATAAATCTGTCATAGATTTCTCATAGATGGCGCTACGACTAAAAAGTCGTTGAAAAACCAAATACAAAGACACGACGCAAGCACATACAAAAATTCGTGAGGTCCGTTGGTTCGTTCCGTGGCTTAGTTGGTATAGCATCTGGCACGGTATGCAAGAAGACGTCGGTTCGAATCCGACCGGATCGAAGGAATTTTTTCTGAGAGTTCGATCTTTGTATTGATAATAATATAATAGTGTATTAACTCAAAAAATGTATTTACTCCGAATCGATGAAAAATGAATTACTCACTTCCCGTGAAAGATTATTAAAATGAATGTATAGGTTTATAGTTTATTAGGTACAATTTCGTACTTGCCAATATTTAAAAATAAAGGGGGAAAAAACAATTTCGTATTTTTAAATAAGGACTATTTTGGCCAGAACTAGCTCACATAAAGTGTGTCTCGTTTTGAGTTAAGTTGACATCTTTTAGTTGTTTCTCACAATACTAACGACGGTTTTATTGACGTGTAGAGAATAACATTTTACGTTAAACAATGGTATAATCTTGAATTTCACGTATTTTCAGTTACAACACCATTGTAGCGAACTTTATCAATGAGTTAAAGGGTGGGTGCTAACAACGAGTAAGCAAGGCCAAGTTTATGTACTTACAGCTTTTAATAATTTATTAGAAAACATCAACAAAGACAAGCACATTTAAATTTAGAATTTGTGTTAGTTAGTGTTTGTTAGTTGTGCTTGTATTTGAACCTGAGCAAGCGAAGGATTCTAAGATTGATCCACGAGCGTAGTGAGAGGTTCAAAAACAGAATCATGAGCGTACGCAAAAAAACGCAAAACAACTTTGCTGCCGTGGGAAACAGACAACTTTTCACCTCACTATAGCGAGGAAAAGAGCAGATGAAAGAAAAACAGTTGAACTATATCAAATCAGTTTTAATAAACAGAATTAGTTATCGTTGCCAATTTAATGTCAACAATAATAAGAATAGCACATACCAACGGATTTATATTACATAAATAATGTACAACAAATCGCGTAGTTGAACGTGTCATTATGTTTTTTTTACCGAGGGAAAAGTTTGGTGCACCACAATCCTGAAGTTCAAATTTCAGAAACATTTTGTGCGCCGATTTCTAATGATAAAGACAGCCTTTCCGAGCTAGTGAGGTGAAAAAAAAATTAGGTAATCGTTTTTGTTATAAAAATAAAATATTCTTTGACTTGATTTGTTGCCAAAAACTGTGTTACTAATAAAATAAAATATTAAATTTTTTTTAATACATTTGGTCTTTGCAAAAAAAAATCTAGTTTCTATAATTATATAATGGTAAAATATAACGTTAAAAATTCAATTATGTGTTATAAAGTTGGTCAATATGGATACTTATATCAGACATAATAATAGTTAAGAATAATAGAAATAAGCTACAGTACCGGCACGCTATGGTGGCCCTTTTGGCAGACAATAGTGAGGCAAAATCTTAATTCATTAACGAAAACAATATAATACAATGCGAGTCGCATCTATAACTTTTTAGATTTACAATTAGTATTGCAAGGGGTAGCTGATGAAAAAGTTCTAATAAAATGAAATTAGAAATGTTTACTTAATGTATCGTCAATTCGAAACTGCTTTGTTTTGCATTGAGCTTTGACGCCAGTTTGCCGGATGTAGAACGTGTGTTGGACAGCGATCAGATTTTATTTTTTTAAATTTCGAAAAACGAATCGGTTTTAGTATAGGTGTAATTTTTTTAATTTTGTTTCAGTTTAATACTGTTACTTGAAAGTTTTATTGTATGTTTATATTTTTTTATACAGTTGTATTGTAACTTCATTTGAATTAAAATTTTTTTTGTATCTATTTTATAGTATTTTAATGTTTTTGTAACCTCTGTTTTATTTAAATTATTAATAAAAAATAATAAGAAACATATACTTTATATTTCATCTTGTTTTGTATATTCTTATTATTTGGAAATACTACGTTCTTAACTTAGACACTAAAAGGAGAAACAGTTACTATTAGTGTGTAACATAAGAATGTATATAAATAAACAAGATATTTTAACAATTAAATAGGTAGTTGTAATTACTTAATCCCTTGTTTTTAGATTCATTACAAAATTAAACAATATTTGTCTAAGTGTGGGTGTACTATAAACCTCTGCCTACTCTTCGGGAATATAGGGGTGATGCTATTTTATGTAAAAAGTTTGTGTTCCTCAATTCAAAGACTAAATAAT